TCTCTCTCTCTCTCTCTGCATCTCTCTCTCTCTCTCTCTCTCTCTCTGTCTCTCTGTCTGTCTCTCTCTCTCTCTCTCGCGCGCGCGCGCTCTGAGAGAGACAGAGAGACAGAGAGAGCGAGCGCGTTTTTTTTTTGTTTTTAACACGTGCTGGGAACCGGGCCCAGCGTCCCATATGGAATTATACAAATAATTTGAAATACCAGGCCCATTACCTGGCTTCGGCTAAGAACAATCTGAGAACTATGAAAAGAGTTCAAGAAAAGTCCAAGAGAACATGAATAACTGCTGACCTGCCGACCTATTTCTAGGCTATTCAAGCAGTAGTTACTTAAAAAGAAAGCCACAGAAGTCCTCCGAATGCTCAGAACCCCTGGAATCCTCAACAAAACACTCTTAGACTAAGATTCTCTAACACTGTCTTATTCCCTGCCGAGCTCTCCCAGGCCTCATGCCCCCACCCTGCTAGGTTACAGGGCAACACGACTCACCCCAGCTCTGGCCAGTGCCTCTGTGTTCCTAGCATGTAGGAGTCATGTAGCCTGTGACATCTTTCTACGCCGTGCCATTGTATGCAGTAACCGTGCCAGGACCTATGAGAATTGGCTGCGGTGCTTCCACATGCCTCACCCAAGCCGGTCCTGCCCGGTCTGTAGGGGTCGCCGCTTACCATTATTATAGGCAACAACTCCTCCTCAAATGTTATCTTAATGCAACCCACACACTGACTGACCTCATGTGCCATTCTACGGTGGTCTGCCCCAGTAAACGGCGGCAGTATTTTTAACTGTCAACTTTAGGGCGGCTATAAAATCTGGCTATATATACCTTTCTCGGCCTTTTGGCTAAAATCAAGTGTAGTATCTGTTCTGCTCAGTTTAATATCTGATCCGTGGTCCATCGGGCCACATGATATTAAATTAATTTTTCTGGGCCACGGAGGGGTCAGACGGGTAGGCTAGCTTACTCGAACCCTCCAGCGTTGCCTCTGTATTGCACTGCTGCAGAGCGCGGCGCAGCACTACCCCCTATAAGGGGAAGTAAAAAAAAAAAAAAAAAAAAAAAAAAATCTGGCTATATGCTGGAACACTCGCAATTCGTCCCGGTTGGAAAGGTCGAAAGGTCGAAACCTGGGTCCGTCTCAATGTACCGAACTGGCCACAGGCAGATGCCGCATGTTGGTGCAATGCACTTGTGGTCTTCCGACTCTTCCCTAATTAAGTAATTTTTCTTTAGACAGCTTTGTGAGAGAGGGCTGGACCCAGTTCCTGGGATTGAACAGCCAATACGTCCGGCCCTCATTTTCCCAACGTGCGATTGGATTTACTAGGGGGCCTACCAGCCCCACCAGTCATTTGGGACCGGTGGGTTGCGCCTAAAAAGGCTAAAAGTTTTTGCGTGTTAACAGTTGCGTGCGCACGTTGTACCCGGGGCAGGTACGAGTGGTTGAATGAATGATCATTGATTTCATTATTATTATTGTTATTATTGTTTTAACTATTTTTCACCATAATTACCCTAGTTGATAAATGGGCGGTTGGCACTCTACAAGTTCTTGGGCAAGAACAAAAGAAAACATTTAAAAACTTAAGATAAGACACGAAAGATCCATTTTACAAGTGCAAACAACCCACTCTATGAATCCAAATGGTTGGCATTGGGCCTCGCTTCACTACTCTGGAAATGTGCAAAACGAGAGTGAATCTTCGCTAGAAACATGGCGAGATACACCCCCATGATTTTTGTCTTTTGTGCATGTAGAGAGTAGTGCAGCCA